TCGCCATCCATCTTCTCCTTCAGAACATTTCTTCTGCAGAACAGAAAGCTTGCTTTCCGATGGCCATCTCCCTAATGACCTCTCGCCCCTACATTCTAACATCTACAGGAGCCAGTCTTTTCCGTCAGACTCTTCCTCTCCTTTACCATTCCAATAAGTCTTTTGTCTCCCAAGCCGCAGTCTTCCTTACCGATAACCAAAATAAGACCTTGTTCCGCTCCTGCAGCGTCAATAAACCAATCAGAAGCTCTCCTAATTCCGTTAAAGTTGCTTCGAAATCAAGGTTTGGTCTTGTGGGTCAGCGCAGTTTCACCGCAAAAGCTACTCACGTCAATGATGCAGGCTCCATCAACTCGTCTCTCATGCAGTCTATGGAGAAGAAGGTAATCGTTTTGCATTTCAACCTCTTTTTCTGCCTTTTGTTTCTGTGTTTCAGTGTAATTTTAGAATTTGGGTATTCCTTTTGTTTATTGGATGAACAAGGAATGAAGGAGTATTTGTTTCATTTTATGCTTAGTATGTATTATTTTCGTTACACATTATCTTCTTGTCCAAACACAATAGATGGGCTCCAAATTTAAAGATTAAATGGAGTAGCTTTATATGGTTGTCAATTGAGGTAGTTGTAAAATGTCATCTTTAAGTATTACCATCTATGCAGAGTCTACATGGCATACGATATAACTGTTTCCTTTTTTTTTTTGTTTCCTTTTTAATCTTGTTTTCCTGTTCGTTTGAGTATTGGATTAAGTCTATTTGTAACTCTATCCAGTATCTCAAGATTTTGTTAATAATTCATTAGTGTGGATGTAAATACTTGTGGATAATTGCCATCTAAAGGCGAGCTTCTAGGAAAAAAATAGTATGAAAATTGAATCAAGGTATTGTTTGCCTAGAAAGTCGGCTCCTAATTTAGAATTAAAAACATTGCTACTGTCATATATTAGCAACTCTTAGTAAAAGAGAATAACTTATGGATTTGTCCCAGTCCCCTAACTATTTACAGCTTGTTTAGTTTGAGGAGAGGGGGATAAATTTCCCTATTTGGATAACAAAATTGGGGGGAAGGGAAGGGGAGGGGAGGGGAGGGGAGGGAAATGTAAGGATATCGTCTCCCCTCCCCTCCCCTCAGTTTCCGACACACTAAACTGGGGTTAGTTTATTAAAAAGCCTCTCATTGTGATCAATCCTACTACATTCTTCTATCAAGCCAACCTGCATCTCAGTGCTAAAAGCATTGCTTCATGGGTTAGTCTTAGGAGCAAAGAATATATTAGTTAAGGGAAAAACTTCTCCACATGAGCTGCAATAACCTACCCAACCCCCTCTAATGCATCTCAACCCTGCTAGGAAGAAGTAATCCTAAAATCTTTTGGTTTCAACGATTGTAGAAACTGCTACTTTTCATTCTGAGACCTTTTATAATGGTCTGGTAATCCCTGATGGTGTTAAGAAAATGCTTCGTCAATACTTGTCCTAAGGTCAAAAGAAAATTCTAAATCCTTAATTCCTTATCTATCCGCTACGTACCATTTAAAATTACTTTTACAGGTCATATTGTTCCTTGGAGAACCATTTAATGTGTTTTCTAGGGGCCATTTAGTGGTATTCTTAACAATAATAAGATATTGTTGAGGCATTGCAGAGGTAAACAAGTTCACTAGAGAAAGCCTTATTTTATGTTCTTGTTCTCATCTCTTTGTTCAGAATGACCCCATTTCCTCTTTGGAAATAGTAATTGATTTTGCTTAGGCTTTTTCTTATTTTTTCATTACAGTAGTAAAAATGCTCAGGTATAAGGAAAAGAGAAAAAAGAACCTAACTGTTAAAATCAAGGGTGCTTTTATCAAAAGAAACTTGGTCCTTGCATTTGTGATGCATAAAAAGTATTTAATTAGCTGGAGCTCCTATGATCGGTTATTCCTAGCTTCTTCTTCTTCTTCTTATTCCTTTTTATTCCTCTCCTTTGGACTTACCACATCTCTGAAGAAGTGCTTCCCTATGACATGATTCAATTTCATGACATGGATTTATATTGTTTATTAATTTGAAAGACCATTACACTTACAAAATTAAAGAATCTTTTGTTTTGTCTTTCTTTATTTCTGCACCCTGGTATGTTGACAACTGCACTTCACTTCTTTCACTTTTAGCCACTCTGTCCTGCCAAATCCCAAGCCACCCCTCCCTCTCCCCCTCTTTCCCACTAAAGGGTTAAGAATTCCTGTTTTACATTTTAGATTCTTAATAGTAGCATAAAGGTATTAAACTGAGGAAGATTGAGAACCCATGGTGGAACTTGGAGTAAGGTGTAGCTGACAGAAATCTGACTGATAAGTTGCCACTATGATGGATGGCAATTATCAAGTTGTCTTGAACAATAACTTCAACAACAACTGTCAACTGTTGACGAATGGATACTTAAATATTTGGAAGTTTACCTTCAGATGGTAGAGTTGTTGCATGTGTAAATTCCAAAGGAAGGATATTATTAGCAAGGTTTTAATAGAAGACATCAGCACTAACTAATAGCTTCAGTAAGATGAATTGTAGTAGGAGGTCATATAAACTTGAAGAAAGCAACTCAGCTTCAGTTCAGTTTATTTATTTATTTATTTTTCTAATAGGATCCTGCAATTCTGAATTGTTAACCTGCTATAATTTTTCTGAGAATGCTGGAAATTGTGGTGGATATCAGAGCAATGAGTTTGGTTTTTTCTTGGGATATTTTTTCAGTTTCACTTGATTCTCATATTTTGGTAAGAGTTACTGGTTTCTGTTGTTATTTCATTCAATTTCTAACATTGCTTTTGCTTAACCACTGATTTTTTTTTTTTGGTTTTACTTAATCACTGATACTTTGTTTTTTCCTTGTATTTTCTGCTGCTTTTGTTCTCATGACTGTGATATTGTTTGACTTTACAGATCAAGGAACATCTAAATGCTGAATCAGTCATCGTAAGAGATGCATCTGGTGATGGTCGACATGTTTGGTAAGCACTTGTTTTACTGACTTACTGTGTTTATTAACCTGTAGCACTAATAATAGGTCCACTTGTTCTTTTTCATTGTAATTATTTGCCACTTCCTTCTGGTGGTTACATATCGATATTTGTTTTTGAATTCCACTACAACCTTCTGTTGTTCATGTCTGAGATGAAAACAAGCGAATCCTGCTCTATTTTCCTTTTTATTTTTTAATTTTTTTATTGGCAAATGCTGCCCTACTTTTCTTCTTGTGCTGTAAATCCGTGTTTTGTATACAGCTGGGGTAATGCAATTGCAGAATAATAATTGTGCTCCACCTAATCTACTAATGCATCTTGAGTTCTCTCAAATATGTCTGAGAACACTTTTGTGTCTGGGTATGATCTGGTGGTTGCATATTGATATTTGTTTTTGAATTCCACTGCATTCTCTGATATTCATATTTAAGATGACGGAAAAAACAAGAAAATCCTGATCTACTTTTCTTTTGCTGTAAATCCATGATTTTTTGTATACAGCTAGAGTCATGCAATTGCAGAAACATAGCTGCTCTTCAGTTAGTCCATCTAATGCATTTTGAGTTTTCACAAATATGTCTAATTTACATTTTTGAGTGAGGGCACGGTTCTGATTTCAAGTCATAATAGGACTAGCAAGATGTAGGGATTATAGTTTAGAATTTTGTCACTTTAACGATCAGGTTCTCTTGACCCCCTTCTTTACAAAACATAATCTTCAAGTTAAAATCTTACATTACTAAGAAGAGGATTTTTCTGTCAAGAATGTGTGCTATTGTGCTAAGGTCATGTGAGTAGAACCCTGGTCTTATGAGTCTCCTTTGCAGATTACTCAAACAGCATCTAGTGAGGATGAAGGAGAGGCAAGGTCATCTTTTTCGGTGGTGTGTTGTAGTATGATATGATTTCAGATTGATGGAGGCGCTTTGAACTTTCATTGAATCTAAACAATTTTGTTGTTGGCAAAAGAAAAAAAAAAAAAAAGAAAAAGAGGCTAATGATTGAAAAAATATAAAATAAAATGACCTGTTTGGATTTTTGCTAAGAGTTTATCCTGCTTTACATGGCTTGATCTCCCCAAAATTTTTTGAATTATTTTGAATGACAGAATTTTTGTTGCTGTGGTTAAATAATTTAAATTCACAAGCTAGGTAGTAAAGCACATTCTGCTGGGTACTAAAGTAGTAAAGGACATTCTGCTGAAATCTTTATCTCTTCTTTTTCCTTTTTGATTTAAGTGTTCATGTCTTTACAGCAGCATTTGATATAAAAATATAAAGACTTTAATTACATCACTTTTCACTAAAAGTTTTTGACTGGAGCAATGGACTAGAAGTGGCCCACAGGTTTCTCCTCACAGTTCATAGCTTTCATTTCAGCTAATTGCTGAGCTGCTTTGATTTTGGAAAGCAGCTCACTCTGTAGCTCACTCATGTAGTATGTTATCTATAGATATACACAGAACATGTTCATTCATTGATTGCATGTCTCTGAATTATGGCTTTGATATCTGTATTTTTTTTTTAATATATATTTGGTAGCATCAAGTAACTCATGGGTAGTTACATTTTAGACTGGGGAATCATTAGTGATCACAGTACACATGGAAATGTAAAATTAGTAGTGATTACTTGACCTAAATCTAAATACGACACATGAAAACATGAATGCTGCTGCAAATGGCCTTGATTTTATTTGGATGGTTCTACACATGGAGTTCTGTGTGAAAACAAGGGTTTGTCCTGGAGTTTCTTGGACTTCCAATATTGACATTTATTATGGATCGCAAGCAAGAGTATTTCCTTAAATCAATACACATGATTAATGCATTGGAGTCCTATTTAATCTTGATTATTTCGAAGACACTTTGCTGAGAATATGGGTAAATGAAGATTTGAAGGGCCCATATCACTAACTTTTTCATGTGCAGATTGTTCACATAATTCCTTTCTCTTTTAAGTCGTGAGAATGATCTTTATTGCAATCACTGTTATCTTCCATTTTCTGTTTGTTTGACATTTTAGGTTTTCATTTTCTATCCTAATTTGTCTACCATATATTTGCAGCATTGATGTTGTCTCATCAGCATTTGAGGAACAGTCAGCTGTGAATAGGCAGAGAATGGTTTATAAAGCCATATGGGAGGAGCTTCAGAACACGGTGCATGCAGTTGACCAAATGACTACCAGAACCCCTGGTGAAGCAGCAGGTTTGAAGTGAAAGAATTAGCAACTTCTAAACTCAAATCAACCTACCTATTTTACTTATCTTATGAAGAGTTTAGAACCTGCAATCCAAGTTGAATTTTGCCTTTTATTCCATCTGCTTAGAAGTTACTATTGATAGAATTCCCTGCTGCATAAACCAGAAAAGGGAAGGCAGAATTTAACACTCATCTTTTACCATCTTTTGTATGCTACACAAACAGCATTTATTGTTATTGACCACCATATATATTTCTTTATGTGGGTTGGCTGCTTAATAACATACCCTTCTATCCCTCATTTATTTCATTTTGGCTAATATGGTACAATTGTTGACAAGCTTGCAATTGAGATTTCTTGGGTGCTTACGTTTGGTTTCCAGTGAGCTTCATAAAGTTTGAATCATCCAATGCAACTAAGAATTTGGGATGACTTTCTGAGGTCAGACACATGCACACTGTGACAATTGTTATTCGTTGGCAAATTGTCTAGGTAACCAATATCTCATGTCAAGATTCAGAAGTTTTAGGTTGGTTTTGTTCAACTCATCTTGATAATCCAGTTTGAACATGAACCATTCAATTGTCATCAGTAGTTATTGTTTTGATGTCCAGAAACTGCTTTTCTGCACTGTCCTCTTTTTGGTTTTTCTGCTCTTTCCACATACCTCTATCTACTCTTGTAAACAGTACCTCTAGGTTATTAGAGAGGTTTGAAATCACAACCTTGATCTTAAATGATATTTTCTAAAATTATTGGAAGCCACAGCTATAAGGTGTTTTTTTTTTTTATTGTAATGTATAATGATGATTTATGTAATAGGAGTTGCCTTTCTCCTTCACAAATTTCTTCCACCATCTCAAGGTTCGACCATGAAATTTCTTATTTGGAGACATATTTCTCCAAGTGCACTGGCCATGAAGTTTTAGCTCAATGGTACTGCCAGTACGGCAACTAAATTAATTTTTTTACTTGGAAGAGAAAAAATGTGGAAGAAAGAAAGGCTGTTGAAGAAAAAACAGAGATGTCAAAGAAAATCAAAGAACAATTGGTTTATTCTAAGTATACAAGAGATAATGGATTATACAATAAATCCCAAATTCTGTCCCACCCATCCCGGGCTGAGAAAAGAAGAATTATATGTATGAATGAGGGAATCATTGGAAGAGCAAAAGAGTGACTTTTTGGCTTAAAAGGTCAAAAGATCATGACATATATCTTACCTAGAGCTGGAAAAGCAAGAAAAGAAACAGATGAAGGTAGTGCCTTGTCCCAAACGCAAGTTTCAGTGCATTCTTCAATCATATTGCTCTCATTTAATTTCTATCTACTTATTGTCAATTATTAATCAATCCAAGATGAGTTTAGTCATCAAAGGAATGACCTTCACCTAATTTTGGCATGTAAATCCGATAAAAAAAAAAAATCATCTTTTACAAAGGAGACATTGAAACTTCCTTGGTATCAGATGGTATATACAATTTTCTTACACAGAAGCCTCCTAATCTTAGATGGTATTTTGGTTCTTTTTGGATGTGTTTTATTAAAGGCCAACTTTCTCAACAAAGTTTTTTTTTTTTTTTTTA